CTTGCCCTCCTCCACGTTTTTCTTCCCCGCACGGTTGCCTTTTCCCTCCCATCCCACCCGTTTGCTCCTGGAGCGGAGCGAGAGCTGGCAGCGGTGTGCTTGTGTGCCGGCGGGGAGTTGGGAGCTCCGCCTGCCAAAGCACCTTTGCCTTTCTGAATTCATAAGCTCTGGGTTGTTGCATACCAAAGAGCTCAGATCTGCATTTGGGTTTAAGTTTGTGCAAAAACTGGGAATGTCTCTGTTCAGATTTTTTTTTTTTTTTTAAATGAACTCTTTAATGTCTGTATTTTTTTTTTTTTTTTTTTTTGAGGGATGCCCCTTCAAAAAACCCTGAGATTGCTCCATGTCGTGTTGATCCACATAAATTGTTCGAGAGACGTGGGCCTAAGCTCGTATGGGAAACGGCACTGGATCAATGAAAGAAAACATTCAGCAATGTGCATTTTATACAAGCATTTAAACTTTTTTTTTTGGTTTTGTTTAGTAATAAAAGGAACAAAGCTATTATTAGTGACCATGGGCTTGGGAGTTTGCTAAAGCAGCAATAGTTACTCATCTGTTTTCATTTGCAGAAGTATTCTAACAAAAGGCAGCCACAAATGCAGCAGCAGGGTTAGGAGGTGGATGGTAGGAGTGGAAGTGCAGTTTCTGGAAGCCAGTGCTTACTAAGACCTTTCTGTCTAGTCTTGGTTTTGTGGCCATCAGGAGCACAGTTCCCGGTGAGCTCTTGCCTTGCTGGATCGAAAAGAGAAAGAATGAATCCCCTGGGTAAGTTCTTGGTCCTTTTTCTTCTCTAAGCTGCAGCAGAGCTGTACAGAGCAATTGTCACTTCTGGTGCCAGCACGGGGTTGTGTTTGCACATCAGCTCCTGCAGCTGGCTTGCAGGAGTTGGAGAACAAGAAGTGTTGTAAGATTGTTTTAATTTTATTTTTTTTCCTGCCACCTCCCCTCCTGGCCCAGGTAGGAATAAAATTAAGAAATTATCTGATTTACAACAACAAAAAACCCAAACCCACACAGGATGGTAAATTTCTCTTCGCTCATTTCTTTTTCTTCTACAAAGCAGCCTAACAAGCAAGCACAAGACCTTTGTATGTGCTTTAATGGTCAGCCAGCTGGTTCATGGTTCGCTCTGTTGCGAGTGCCGTGGCCTGCAGAACTGATGCTGTACACGGTGCGGTCAGCACTGCCTTGCGATTGCAGTTTCCTCAGATGCAGTAAGAGCAGTCGAGTTTTCAGCAGAAAATGCTGTAGTCAGATACAGTCTGTGCCAAAAGAGCATTAGTCCATGGGAAGTAAGAATAAAATACCCCTATTGATTTCCTTTGGTTTGGGACCATGTCCCAGCTAAATTTGGTTATGATGCACTGAATACATGCTTGAATTTAATGTTGTAATTAAATGCTCAGTGAAAGTTGCTGTCTAATAATCTCATTAAAATCAACCTGTTTTTCTCCCCAATCCTGCAGCAGTTAAGAGCCTGACCTTGCAATTTGAGTCTAAATCCTAAGGTTACTATGACAAACCACGAGAAATATCTTGAATAAGCAACACAAACTTTCAGAAATTGCTGTTTGTTTAGATGTCAGTGTGCTGAAGTTACAGACTTAAAACCATGGAAATGCAGAAGACATAAATGGAAAGCAGAGATGGAGAAGTAAAACTCTTGTTTGTGCATAGAGGTCTGTTGGGGCGGCTAAGCCACAGCATAGAAAGTTCCAAGTATTTTTCTAGTGTCTGAAATGATATTGTCTGTGGTTTTTAGATAACAGATAAGCAAGGGAGGAATAATTGAGCTGCTTTATCGGGCTGCTTACAGAAACTTGAAATTTAGAATGATAGTTAAATAAAAGCTCTTATCTATATTTACGGTTGCTAATGGTCAGAAACTGCCATTTAAGAGGCTAGATTAAGTAATCTGTATTAAAATTGTAAATATATACTTTCCCCCCCCTTGGATTTTATGCAGACATTTTTTCAAAAAACATGCCTTCTCTATTTACTACATGAAATAATATTTTTCTTTCAGATGCCAAACTTTTGGGAGCAGACTGATATAATATTTTTGGGTTTTTTTTTTTTTTTTTTTTTTTTTTTTTTAAATAAAAGTTTTGTGAGCACAGTAAAATATTTAGACATAAAAGTTTGAAATGACCTGGCACTAAAGGGAACAAAGAAACCTTCACACACTTGAAACAGGATTTTGCACATAGAACTTCAGTTTTCTTGGTTTTCCTCCATGACAAAACAAATTTTTGAAGTTTACTTTGGCAGTAATTCATACCACCATTATGTTAAATAGGAATGAAAGGATGTTTCCAAGCAGCATGTTGTTTTACTGCTATGCGGAAATGCAGTTTTAAATCTATTTTCTGTAGGTACTTTGGTTTGGTGTTGTGTTTTTTTTTTTTTGTTTCCATTTTCTTTGTCTTCTTCCCATACATCTACAGGTTCCCAACCCCACTGGAAATGGTTATAGTCATATTTTTAATTGAAATGAGAAAAATATATGATTTGGTCATTCTGGCTTGAAGTTCACTGGGGTTTTTTTATGCATGTGAAATGTTAACCACTACAAAAATGAATGCAGGGTGGGTCCCACCTTGTTATTTGCATATTTGGTTTATGAGTTGCATTTAATCTCAAAATAAGATTTATAAAGATGGACTTTGCTGTAGAAAATGTGTTTTGCTGCTCTCATTATGATGGCGAACAGGATTACAGAGAAGCTCTTGTTTATTGCTTCTTGGAGGGTAGTACCTGGACAGCTGGTAAAATGCTGCTGTTGACAGTGCAGTGAGAAAATGATAAATCGGTTAGAAACTTTTTTTTTTTTTTTTTTTTTAAGCTGTTGCAGCTAAATCTAGAGTGTTCTGGCCAATTTCTAACAAAACTCGCCACTTCAGGTTTCTGGATAGTCTCTGTGTGCCTGTTACAGCAGGTGGGCAAGGTTGTGGGGTGCAACATTTTGTTCAGAGTGGAAGAGTGATGTTGGAAAATGAGTCTTATCCATGAGTTAGCCCTGGAGTAATATGTCCTTACAGTAGTAGATTCGGAGTTGCCATGGTTCAGTGAGCAGTTTGGAGATTTTTGTGGTGTTGTTTTGTTTTGAGGACACTATTCTCAGCTTATTTTCCTTAAGCTGCATTGCAAGTGCTATGGTTGTCTCTAGAGGTGAATCAGACCATACCTACTAACTTCAGCCTGTTATTTGCATGCGGGCATGGAGAGGGTTTTTCATCCTCTCAAACTATGATCTGCATTCACTGGAATCACAGTAGCCTTTTATTGCCTTTTTTATATGGCAGTATGTTGAGGTTTTCCTTCAATGAGGAAGGATACGACTTAATAACTGTAAGGCTGTTTTATTGCTTATAAGACTGCTGGGATCAGTCTTGAGTGCCTCCCTTGCTGGCAGTTGCTAATGCTTCATCTGCAGTCCTGTTCTGGGCCACTACAGTATCAAGATCTTGTCCCTGTTTGAAAATACAAGCCCCTTTGGCCTGGGAACTGCATTATTCTGGCTGATTTTGCAATCCCCAGTTTACCTGGTGCTGGTTCCGCAGAGGCATGTGGTGAGATGGGTGGTGAAATTTGATTTTTTTGTTTTGTTTTGTTTAGGGCTTTTTTGTTGTTGTTTCAGAAAATTTTTGAATCCTAGTCTGGAAAGATTTAATGTGCTGGCTTTTTACTAGTACTAAATGCCTGTTAGATTTTTAAAAACTTGTACATAATTATTCAAATATGAAAGACTTCAGTTTCAAACAACTTGTATATGGACTTGATCATTAGAACATATTACCTAATGTATCTGATCTGCTTTATTTTTTTCAATGTAACATTTTTAGTTTAACATTGTATATTTTCTAATAATCTCCATTTTCCCCCAACTATTTTTAAAAAAAATGTTATGGGCATGAGCTAATGTGTCTTTAGAAAGCACTTGATCTGCCAGACAGAAGGGGTTTTTTTCAGGTTGCATACTTTGGTTGCATACTTTGGTTTTGTGTACTTATTATTACTTTTTCAGAATAAATTAGACTGTATTAAAAGATCACCAAAGCCTGAAGTTCTTTGTTCCCAGACTGGAAATCACATGGTCAGTGAAGGTGTTTTTATTCTGTTCCACTTTAGATCTTCAGTGGAAATCTTGGATGGCAAGTCCAGGACTTTGAATAGGAATGGGATGCCAAGGGTTTGGGTTTTTATGTTGCTGTGACAGACTGAAAGGGTTCTTCTCTGCTAAACTTTTGACTAGGTGTTGGAAGAGCCTGGCAGGTTCACCTTCAGTTTATATCTTGTGTTCCTTGTCAATGCCAGATAGGATAATGAAAGACACATGACCTTTGGTTGCAGAGAATGGATGATACCTGGATTCAGAGATGGGGTTTACAGTCCTGTCTTTACTGCCCAGGTTGTGTGCCCCCAAGTTCCCAAAGAGGCTCTGCTCAAAATCCTTGTGTTGAAAGTCATTATGGGTGATGGCATCTTTGTCAGATGATGTGTGGCTGTTGGACCCTTCAGCTGCTGTCTTTGAAAGCTATCCCTCTTAAATCTGCTCTGGATTAAATCTCTGCATGCCTTCTGTCTACTTTGCCTCTTCCTGTAGTAGGTATTTCTTGGTTTTTATCTTTGGGTTATCACTTTTCAATTGGGAGAGGAAGGGCAGGTGAGCTTCTATAAATTAGTCTATGTCGCCTGGTAGTTTAATGCATGAGAGCTCCAGCTTTCCAGGATGGCAGAAAGTGGTGGGCAAATGAAGGTGTGGTGGTAAGATTCTTAGAGGTAAATTGGCTTACTTTTCCTTGCAAAGCATACTCCGTGGAAGGGAATGTGAATTTTCGTCCTCTGTCAAAGTGTGCTGTAAGTTATATGCCTGTTATAAACGTCTTAATGTGAAAAATATTTAAACTGACTGACCAGTTTTGTCTGTCTGGTCTGAGCTGGTAGAGGTACCCACTGGGCTGGTCAGGAAGCCACTGCCAGGAAACCAGGGGAGGCCTTCTAGAAGAAGAAAGTATGGTAGGTGTGCCTTTTATTTGTTTTCCTTATTTTATTTTACTCCTCAACTGAAAAAGCAAATATTTTTGCTCAGAACTGGTGACCTACTTCATTTAGGCAAAACTTCTTGATGCTGACTCTGTGGGCCAGTTAAAATGAATAATGTGGCGTGGTCAACAGAAGGAAAATAGGGATGGAGGCTGATCGTTCATATGTGAATGAATAACAGCTTTTCCTTTTCATCACCTGCTCCCACAGTTTTCTAACTGTAGCTTTCTTTTGCGGTATTATGTCAGTTATTTGTACTGCTTGATGAGAGTTTGTGCCTATTTAAGAAATAGTGACTTGGAGGAACTTTTGCATGACAAAAATTACCTTTATTTGGAGCCTGTTTTCAGACCTTTTCCTAATGTTAGTACTTGAAATTAGTCTTATCCGTTGACTTACTCCGTTTGAATGTGTGACTGCCCCAAATGAAGGAAGCACTGGACTCTTCTGGTCTCTGCATGGTTCAGTGCAGAAGTCTGGGGAATAGTGTAGTAGCCAGGCACAAAAGGTGGGGTTAGCTAAACTGTGTGGTGACATAGGCACTCAAGTTATTTCTAAATTAGTTAGAAAGGAGGGGTTACATTTTTGAGGTATTATTTACTGTTTCAATTCAACACTTCTGAACTCTGGCTCACTCAGCTGGGCTAACGTGGGAGAGCATACAGGCAACTGCGTCCCTGAAGGTGGGGGCGAGGGGGAAGAGAGAACTTCCAAGAAATTGCAGCACAATGACTGCTGACACTCACTTTCCAGCTGACCCAGCATGCCAGATGCAAGGAATGTTTTGTTAGGGTCTGGATAGGCTGGTAGCTCTAGAAGAACGTATTTGTTTTGGTGGGACCTGCTGAGAAGCCTGTTGAAGCTAGCACGCTCACCTTCCAGAAGGATGGTGTCTAGCCATGCTGATGTACGTGGAGGCAACAGCTCCTGTTTTGTGCAATACTACATTCCAGTGCTACTTTAGATCCTTATGCTCTGCCAGAGAGTTTGCTTTGTCCTGCATCTGGCCCGTTGGAGCCTTTGGCTGGAGGGCATCTTCTGTGGCCTGTAATTCCTTACTGGCTGCTTGGTTCCACAGTGACCTACTTTGATTAGGCAATGAGTCTTTATCTGTAAAGAAGCAAGTTGTTCCTTTGCCAGTCCTCCAGTTGGAAACGTTTTCAGGACTGGACTTCTCAGAATGAGACTGCTGGTACCAAGTTAATCTTGTACATAGCGGGTTTATATCACTTGGTGAAATGCCAGGGTTGTTCTCTCCTGGGTGTTTGTTTCTCTGCTGTATTTATAGACGGCAACACTCATCCCTGTCAACCTCCATTTTGTGAGATTAAAATGCCAAACTTTTCTTTAGCTTCCCACTATAGAGTGGGCTCTTTTTTTCTCTCATCACTTCATTTTCAGCTCCTTTTCTTGAGCAGAGATGCCCAGGCAGGAGCCCTGGCTCACAAGATCTTAGACAGATGTCTTGTACTACCGACACTAGTGCTTCTCCATCCTCCCTGATATTACCTTGTCTGATACAGCCTGAGGCTGCTGCTTTTTACTTTATGGTTGTGTTGCTGTGCTGGCCTCTTGTGACGTGAGGAGTGACACATTCCCCTGGGCATTGCTTTGTCCCATTGAGTTTAAACTCCTCATAGAAATACCGATGATTGGCCATATCCTGTTGTGCTTTAAAAGATCCTAATGGAGTTGTGGCAGCTCACCAGAAGGATGAGGTGTTTCTCCTGAACTCTGTTCTGAAACAATAGAGACCAAATCCAGCAAATACAAGTCAAGGGGAATTTTACTCTAATCAATGAGTTGTTTTCCAAAAGTGTGTCAATGGATCCAAGTCTGGAGCCTTAGCAGAGGCATTAGGTACAGATGTTTCAGATTACTAGAGACAAGACTGAAGAGCTTATTTTGAAAGAAAATAAGTGGGAATATGAAGAGGGATCCAGGAAAGTCAGTGAGCAATTTGGGTGTGTAATCTGGTAATAAGCTTAAATGCTGCCCACTTATAAGGGGAGAAAAAGCAATGTAGTTTTCATGTGGTATGAACTCAGGGCAGTGCCTCATGGCTGGTAGAAGTTGCAGCGTGGTTTGGGATTTGGAGTTGTTGAAATCTTTGATTCTTTGAAAATAAAAAAACCCCAGTGCTTGAAGGAGAGATTAATGGGGGCAGGAGGGAAGCAGGACCAGGCGGGCACAGTGAGAGCCCAGACACTTGCTGGGTATCGGTCAGTTCCTGAAGGCGTTGTGTGCACTCTCCAGTTAACATTCACCCTTTGCCTCTTTACCCTTTTTTTCCCCAGCTTGGTGTGGTGCCAGCCAGCAGGTCGGAGAAGAGGGGACAAAGCTCCATCTAGTGTAGAAAGGGAGATATCTGGGAGCTAGCAAAGGAAGAAATCCTGCAGAAGATGGCTTTCCTGAGCCCAGGTGTGGGGTTTGTCTTGGTTTGGTTTTGTTTTGTGATTTTTTTTTTTTTAATTTTATTTTTTTTTAACTTCTGAATAGGGTTGCAAACACTTTCACTGTGCAAGTATTTGAGTAACTTTGGCATCCTGACAGCTGATGCTCATTTTCTGTACTCTGATGTCTGTAGAGGTTAATACTGGCATTAATCCAATTTAAAGTAGTCTATAATGTCAATTCTAGGCAAAACTAAATATATGTCATTCTATTAAGATTAGGAATTTTACAGCCAAGTTACAACTCTGTGAAAAGAAGGGGCACAGAAGTATAATGAAGTGTAATGTTAACACTTTTAAGGTAGAATATCTTTTGACTCTTCCTGACCGATTTGTACAGTCTTAAGCTACAGTCAGTGGCAGATAATTCAAGGATAAATGGACAAGACATTTTATTATCTGCTTTTAAAACAACAATAAAAAATCATCTTGTTTGCTCTGGAGGTTGCTAAAAATAGATAATTTTTTCCTTTCCCGCCCCCCCGGAGTACTTGGATAACCAATTGCAGTTCATGAATGTGGCTTTGCAGCAGCCTTTCTAAATGGATGGGAAGAAATATTTTCAGTGTATTAGACACATATTGGCAGCTCTGTCAGACAGCTTCTGAGTTCAGCAAATGATCGTACGGCAAAAACTGGCTACTACAATTTAATACAGGTTTTTTCTGTGGATAATGAAATAAACTTTTTTTTTTGGTTTTCCTTAATATCCACTTATGATTTCCCATTCTTATCTAAAAATATGCTGCTTGTCCTTGTACCTGTAGTATTTCTTCTACAGTTCAGTGCCAAAGACCACTTGGTAGAATGTGTCCCTGCCTGCAGTGGTAGCTCTTTGAAATCTGTGGGAAGTTGGAATCGAGCACCTGCCTGGGTTTTTGTGGTTCTTTTGGGGCTCTTCATAGTTTCCCGCATGTTGGGAATCACGAGGATTCTTCCTGCTGGAAGAGGATCCAGGAGGAAGAGAAGGTGAAGTTTGTATCCAAAGTGGTAGGTCTAGATGAGGGGGTGGTTTCTAGTGCTAACCTTTCTGAACTAAGAAGGTGAAGAAATGGGAGGGTCATTTTGTTCCCAGCAGCGTGTTTCACAAGCATTTATTTTGCAGAAACATGCAGCTGCTACCAAGTCCAGGCTCACAGCCATTACAATACAGCTTTTTAAGGACATCAGTACAGTTGGCTGCTGGGCTCCAGCAAGTCTGGAGCTGCACATCATTTCCAGGTGACTTTGCTGCAAGTTTATAAACCTGGTTGACTAATGTAGGACTTTATAGTTGTCTGCTGTAGCTTAAAATAACAGAAGGTGTGAATTGCTGCTCTACAGTATTGGTTGGTGCTCTTGCAGGTACTTTGCCAAGGTCATGAATGCTAAATAAACCAGATTAAACAAAACCCTGTTGCGAGAATTCATGATTAACTGTAGTCTTTGTAGGATTTATTGGTTATAAACTAAGCGCCTGCCATTATTTTTTTTTGTACTAGTAACTAAGGCAGATGTGAACTTCAAGTCCAGTGAAACATTTTTTGGCTCTTGCCATTGTTTACATGATTCAGGAGTTTGCAGTAGTTCCACAACAAATATAGCTTTGAACAGAAATAGCCATTCAAGTGCTACGCTTCTGGCAGTGCAGAAGAGATTAAGAGGGTCTAACAAAAAGGCTTGTAAATAGTTTTGAGTTGGCTGCTTTTTTTTCCAAAATAAACCAATAGCTGTAATGTATTTTGAAAAGTGAGGTTTTCCTGTAGCAAGTTACATGGACAACATTAAACAGTGCAAAACATGGAGCATGCTGAACAGTTTTACTTTAAAATAGCCTTTTCTAGAACTGCAGCAGCTGTATTTATTTTTGAGATTTTATTGGTTGCATAAATTTATTTCTGAGGATTTTTCTTGATGTCTCCTCTTTGAGAAGAGCTTATGCTTTTTAAATACAACATAAGAAAGATGCAGAAGAAAAGGATGATTGCAAAATGAAATTAAGGCTGTGTGTTAGCAGGGCTGTATTGGAGGTGTTGAGAAAAGATTTATGAATAGATTAAGGAGGATCTTTTCGTATATGTTTTGACACTTTGTGAAATCAGAAAGTATAAATGTTACTTTCATGGTTTTGTTTTGAATGAACCTTCATTCTGTATCATGTTTTTGATTTGGTATTTGTTTTATTTACATATGACCCCAAGTTTAAGTAATTATTTTCTTCTTTCCCTCTCTGTGGTGGTCATGAACAGTTTCTGGCTAGAAACAAGCTGCAGATTATTTTTTTTTTTTTTTACAGGGGCAGAGGGAGAATTGCCAGAACAGTCTCTGGAGATGCCAGTTCCCTAGTACTCCAGCCTTTAAATCAATACTAAATATTTCTGTGAAAGATTGCAGTTCATATAGATGTCATGAACTTAAAATAGATTTTACAGCTGTTGGTTAGCAGGTGAAGTGGTCCTTGACTCAACACTTGCACTGACCTACCCCAGCCATCCTGTGCAGCTGCAGAGCAGAATCTGAGGTGTTCTGACGTGAACTGGC